TTCGGCGTTGCCAGATTTTTTGCAGTGCCTTTACCGGTAGCAACGGTTACCCGAGAAATCTGTAAAATATAATCCTTTTCAGAACTAACAATTAAAAAACTATGCTATGAAATTGTACAACAGTTCCTTAGGTATTTTTTTTGGAATTCATATCAGAAAGGTTATTGCTTCGTTACAAACACTAGGGATGAAATGATGTCCAAAAAAGCTCACAAAATCATACTGATGTGGTCAACAACTATTTCAACAATGTTTACTAGAGAAACAGCTATCTCAACATTTGTATGAAAATATAAGAGACATTTTTATGAGGTTATTCATAGGAAAACAACATAAAACACTGGCAAGCAAAAATTGAGCTTACTTCGGCTCCTAAGTAGCTTTATAATATGTATGAAACGCAAAACAATAACAGAAAATACTGTACAGGGCTTGCATCTAACATCGCTAATTGCATAGCACAGAATTACCTAAGGTACATCTTGCAGAAAAGGCCCCTTGGGTAAACGTAGGCGTGCTTTACCTGACAATAGAATCTCGACAAAAAATACAAACTCTTCCAACAAAATATGAAAAAAAATTATTAAAAATTGTAGATACAATCTCAAAGAAGCTCCAATGGAATTTTGGAGTCTAAAATACTAGCAAAAATATCGTTTCAAGGCAAGTGTGATGTGCGAATCTTTCGCTTCAAAAATTAAAACCGAAATGTTCTAGTCCCCTTCCCGCATTTAAAAATGTAAACAAATGTAGCTGTACAAACAAAAACTGACTAAGAATGCAGTCATCATCGAATGAAGAACCTCTTACAATCATCGCGTTTTTGTTACTACGTTCACTCAACTCATGAGATAAACACCATTTCTTTTCAGCGGCGATTTTTTATCGCATTCTCAACCACTTGTCTTCTTCTCAATCAACGTCATTTTTGTTAAACAAATGAGTGTATATACTCGAAACCTTTCCGCAGGCAACAAGTTATCTTATGCGCACTCCCTCCGCACACATGAAAAAATCCTGTGGTAATCGGTTAATGTCAGAAAAAGCTTCCGTACAGCCATGACCAGAAAACCCTTGGAAGTGCAGGGTAAAATTGTAGCACAGTGGAAAATAATTTGCAAGCAGAAAAGGAAAAAATAGTCCTTCACAATCAAAATCGATGAAACACCGAGGAAAAAGTAGGCGTTGTAGTAGTATCGAACAGCCCCGTCAGTGTTCGAGTACGGAAGCCGTTCAGAGGAAGTCGCTGAAATACACCAACACCAGATACTACACCAGAACACTGACAATCTATTACGATAAAACTACAAGCTTTTCTTGATAATGTACTGCGTGAGAAAGCCAAATACCAGAATCACCACGACGGATAGTTTGTCTGAGAGATCGAGTCAGTTTCGAATAGAGAACGGGTTTTTTTTTTGGATGTTCTACAAAAGGGTCGACCTCATCACCTAATCATAAAGCTGTTTATCAAGCTAAGTCCAGTAGACGAGTGTTCACCTTAACAGCTTGATAATAAGTTATTTAGCTTATACATGGTACTCTTCACGCAAGTTTGCAATTACCCGTTCTCTATAAGCAACGTTCTTCACTCTCAGACAGAAAGTTCCACGCAGCATGCAAAAATGGAACGAACAACGTTCATGNTAATCGAGAGTCAACTCTCAATTTAGAGAAATCCTTCTTAGGAGCGCTCAAAATTGAAAGCCAACTCCTGTTCATGAATGTGAAGCTTTGTGTGTTGCCTCCTGGAAAACTTTGCTGATGAAGTTGTTTGTGCGTTGCAGCAACTGAATAGTGACGATCCATGCAAAATCAGCTGATAGGGACGGTTCGACTTGACCTCTCTCTATATGGATATACGAATTTGCTGCTCTAAAATAGTTCTTACATTACAACGCTGCGACGAAGCTTGAACCAAGAAATTTAGGTGTTGGCAGTAACATACATTCAAAAGTATGCAATACAGGTAACATCAATCAATCACTATTAAGAGAACAAAGGTATACTCTCTCAGTCACTGGAACGCACACATACTTCACGGACCTACTGTCGAATCGCGTGCTAACAGCTAGGCAGCACTTATGTCAAATTATGCGCAATGAAGTGATGTATCACATATTTACAAGTACCTCCAGTATTACACCTAGCAGACCGTTTGTTGGAAAATAAAAAAAAATCAAAACATTTCATTTCAACTCGAGCAAACAAAAAAGAGGGGCAGTCAAAACAAGAAACTTTTCTAGGCAGTCGTGTAAATCAAAAATGGCTTTACTTTTAGTGTGAACCTAAGAAACTGGCGCTTTTCAAAAAAGAAACTTACCGGTGCTGGCGTTAATGTAGAGGCGAGATTCCGAGCAATTCCACGCGAACGCGATGATGTAGATGAAGCGGAACCAGGAGTTGACAGTGGTTTGATCGGTGTGGTAGGAGATGAAAAACGAGGCGACACGGCTAAAAGCCCAACAGCCGCAGACGTTCGTTGAACCAAAGGGAACGGTGATGGTGTGTTCTTCAATAAGTAGAGGTTTACCCACTGTGAATAAAAAACCCCAAGTATAATGTGGGATGAAAGAGAAGCGTAAAAAGACAATTTCACAAAGTACAGAATGAAGAACTAGGAAGTGGATGTCGACTCACATTATGCCTGTTGCTTCCAGAATGCCTTCCGTTCATGTAAACAGATGGATCATGAAGAACGTTGCCATTGGATAGAGTTGGCAAATGGGCAGTGTGAACGGAAGGCGATGAGACATGAGGAGCATGTTGGCTGCGAGCCTTCATCGCCAATAAACGATCACCTTGTGAACGGCCCTGCGAGTCTATCGCTGTCTGAAATCTTCTTACTGCCGCTGGGAATTAGTAATTTTAGAACCGAGATGCAGAGGATTTCAAGTAAATTCCTGATGGAAACGATCATAATTGCAAGTCATGAAAAAAATTGCAGGAAATCGGCAGAAGTGAAAACTAATCATTTAGCTTTCCAAAGAAGAATAAGCAGTCGACTTGGAATAAAGTGATTTGAGGAGAATAAGAAAAGCGAAGCACCTCAGAGTTTAACTCTTGGGTTGGAGTTGATGCATTTCCATTTTTATCAAGCGACTTTTTCGATCTTCCACGTAAAGGTAGGATGTTCGGCCGAGGACGTGGTATCACGTTTTCTCCTAGGGTCGTTGGTCGCATTGGATGAGAGAGACTTATCTCATCCACCTTAAATACAACCGCTCCAACGTGACCATTTACTCTCCAAGACTTTAAATCATTGTGAGAAATTGAGCAAGTGTTACCTTGGAAGCAAGCTTTCCAAGGGACTTTTTCGCTGCCACATCCGTACCATTGTGCCTCCGCGCTTTCTGCACCACATTATTTTGTGACATCGACCAGCAAAACTTCTGCATCGCAACCTAGAAAGGGCAAAACGTCAAACAAAGAAGGACCTCTGCAACAAAAAGCACGAACAAGAAAACAAAATAAAGTTCATAGAAAAAAAACCAACAAGATAATCTTGTTGAGGTCCAATAACACTTCCAGGCCGACATATCCGTAGCCATGCCATGCATTCAGCGGCGTTCAATCCAAATTCCTTCATCATCCAGCATGCAATGAGCGTCCCCGTCCGCCCGAGACCTGTATCTAGATTCCTTGCAGAGTGCTCTTTTACAATATATGAAGAACTCACCAGCCTTGCAATGAACAGCGACTGCACCTTTAGAGTTATCTACAACCCGTATAAAATTTTCAACTATTTTTTCCGATGGGGTGCTACCGTCAATGAAAAATAGATCCACATGGTCGAATCCGGCGTCGGTAAACCTGAAGCGATGAGGCGGTATTAAACTATAAGCTAGGAACGGTTCAAGCATATGATAACTTCACCCTATGATAGCATTGAAATATAAAAAACAGTACAGAATATGACCGGGCTTAATCTATACTTGCCGATTGATCGAACGAAAGCACCATTGAAAATTTTGAGCACCATTTATACAAATAGGACACAAGCAGAGCGATGATGATAGCTTACTTTTTTGCATCATACATTCTCATGTTTAGCCGCACAATTGTTGTGACGTTCGTGGCACGAAAATAGTCAAAGTAGGTCTCAGGAGAGTGATAAGGATATCCTGGAATTGATAAATCGAAACTCGGATGTGGAGGATGTGTTCAACTCCATGCAACACTTGAGAAGAACAGGGTCTGCTGCCAATTTGAAGCTTACCGTCTTCAACACGAGATTCATTGTGAGGGCCGCAGAAGCTCAAAATCTTGCCAGGTATAATCCAATTCATATCGCCGTTTTCCACCCGTTCATAAAGTTCGTATTCCTCTGCATCGAACGACGTGATGTCGAACCATTTCAGATTTATCGCCTGAGTAAAGTACGACGCTCACGAAAAGGTCATGGAAGGAGTTTGACATTCAAGTTAGCTACCTTTTCAACAGCTCGAAGAACGTCGTGTAAGTGAAGCAGATAAGTTGGTTCGCCAAGTGCCGCATCACGAAAGCCAATAAACTTGGGAGGTTGAGCTGTTTCTAATCGCAGATAAGCTGCATCCGCGGACACCCCTTGGTATATGATCTGAATAAGATCATTTTTCAGGTTACCGCAAAGGCAAATATCGGGAATTCTCACAAAGTGTTCGCGTAAGATTTCGAACTTTTCTTATGGGAAT